TGCACTGCTTTGATACGTCTGCTCTAAACATTTCTGCCTTGTCAAGCCTCAGCTCCGTCAGCAGCCAGCTCCTCTTACTTGCTCTCCGCTAGCTTCCCCCTTCGGCAACAACAAACGTGGAATAAGCAAGAGCACCGTATTGGACAGCAGCATGTTTGGCTCAGGTCAGGGGGGAGCAGCCCAGGTGCTGGAGATCCTCTGGGGAGCAAGAAACTTGTACAGATCACGGTGTTGTCTAGCAGAGAACTAGATATCTTCTTCCTTTTATCACAAATACAGCCTTGAATCATGCAAAACACATTTCCAAAATGGCTGAATCTGTTCTCCAAGTATCTTAAATCAATCTCTAGAACCACAGACTCTCACTTACATTCTACAGTCACTTTTAACATCAGCTATGGGTTTAAAATACTACATTTTTCCAGCGCTCTGTAAAATTTTTTAACTGGTGTTGTTGAGGATATAGTGCTCGTTTTATCATTGATGCTGCTTCTGTAAACCAAACCTATGTCTGGAATAAGAAAGTCCAGCATCAGTGCTGAACTGATCCTTCTGGGAACAACGGCTCGTGCTCACACCTGTATGACTGCTGGGTACACTAGAGAACATTCCATTAAACTTTCATGGCTGATGCTTAGGTCAAAGAAACGGCAGTGAGCTACAATACAATCTGCTGCTTTTCGTAAATGCACTGGGAGCCAGGCAAGTACTCATTAACATTTACAAACTCAGACTCAAAATGCATATAAGTGATGCTGAGATGCTTGAAACACACTTCCAATGACAACGGACAGGGACAGTAATTTTAACCTTGCATTATTGAGTCTTAATTTCCAAACACAATTTGCCATCCTCTGCTTCCATTTCTTCCCTACAAAAAGAATAAACTGTCCAAATAAGGTTGACAGCTATAAAATCAAAATAGTACCTAGTAGCCTAAACTAAATATGTGACTCTCCAAATATCCTTTACTCTTCTTTCCAGCTGCATTCATTAAAGGATACAACTAGCTCTAATACAGGAAATTATAGACCTGTGAAAAATGTATGTCAGGTGCCAAAAGCATTTAAATTCTATCTTTTTCCAATTCATGAAGCTCATTGTAGCATTGTATTGTTGCATTATTAGATTTATGCATTTAGCAAGCAAGCATATTATAAGAGTGGCTGTAGGTAATTACTCTTTTCTAACAGCAGGAACCACAGTATTGTCCATGCTATGTCATTTTTATGAGAAAAATGATCTGTTTTTTAGAAAAGACTTCGATGTTTATAAATAAACATCCAAACATTTACTAATAAACCATAGTCCTAACTTATGGAAAGAGCAAGGGAGACAGAAACTGAGAGTGACATAACTCATTCATTACACTGTATTGATTATCAGATGTCATCCAAAAAAGCTTGTTCTCATACTGACATCACATTCATTTGGGGATTATGTCTTTGTAGGAGATATTTTTAAATGTGATTTTGAAAACCAGGAAGTTCAAAGATAGTTTCTTATTTTTTGTAACTTTTTTATCTATCCTCTCAAAAGGGTCACCATATGTATGGTACGTCCTCTCAGGAAATTACAGCGATGGAACACTTGATTAGCTTAATTACTTAACGGTTGTACCAGTTTGCAAAACTTTCCACATGGAGTCTTGCAGAGAACATTCTCAAACCCAAAATCCTTTCCACACATCTACCAAATGCTCCCTGTTGGAAGTGTCTCTGCACCGGGAATGCTGGCACTCACTAGACAAAGCTCTGAACTTCATAGGTAGTTCTAGTCTTTCTTCAGACCCTCTCATACAGATCAGCAAGAGCTTTCCATATGAAAGGTCTCTGGAGTACAACCCTACATGTACTATACAAGCCTAAGTACCTAATCCATCTGCTTCTCACATTCCTGACTCTGCAAACACTGTAAAGGTGGCACCATCCATCTACAATGTTGTTTTTACTCACCCTGCAAACAAAGCTAAATAAACTTTATGAGTTAAATGTATTTGGCATGGTATAACTAGATCCCAGGGAAATTTTTCATAAATTTCCTAGTTTAATTACAAAGTTTAAACCCATTTACTAATCCAATGGCACTTGTGGTATTTGAAACACAGGAAGGGAATTTGTTCAATTATAGACAAAATAATGTCTGTGTCAGTCTAAATATTCAAACCCTTGCTAACATTTCTCATGCAAGAATCTCACTGGACATATGCGGGTTATGCAAACGTGTAAGGATCGAGTGTACCTAGGCTCATCTCTCTAAGACATTACACATTATCAGCTCCACAGAACAGCAGCATAACACAAAATGGTGCAGAACTGCAGCCTCGTGGCACTTATCACTCAGTGCTACAAACACCGAGCTTTACGGAAACTCTGCTGTGTTTTCAATCACCTGACCGCAGAATCCAATGAGCAGATCCTGAAGTCTGTAAAGTCTACCGTATCTGCTGGAATGGAAGTCACCACCAACATATGGCATGATTATGAGCATTTTACACAGAAAAATTCCTCAGGAGACAACTAAGCAAATGTTTCTTTTTTCATTTAATTATCTGATCCTCATTTGATTCACTCTGCTGTCACTAGTGAAGAGCAGCATGAAAATAAGACAACCCAAAAACTACCCTGTTGGCAAGGCTAAAGAGCAGCAAAAAAAAAAAGAGCAAAAAGTTGTGTGTTATGACACTCCATTTTTACAGATGCTGCTGAAACACTTTTGCTAAATACCTGGGCAGTTTATAAATAAACCCTTCCAAAAGCGTACTTTTACACAATCACAAAATAAATTAAACTATCCAAAATTCATGCTGCTAATTAAAATAGTCCCTGTAGGAGGGCAAAGTAGCTACAAGGCTGAGGTAAACATGATGCTTTTTTATTGAACAGCAGCTGATAATTTTATACCTTATTTACATATATTTGCTAGTATCATCAAAACCTGGTAAAAACCACAGTTTTGTACTTACCACTTAAAGACTCCAACCTGATACTAGTCCATCAGTTTTAGGACATCAGCAAGCTCTCTTGCCTTTATAGAAAGCCAGCAGCATTACACTTCCATTCTCAAAAAAAAAATCTGCCAGCATAGGAAGCTAGGAGCAAGACATACGCAGTCCTTTATGTATCTAGATCAGAGGATTTTATACCATAATATTGGAATTCTATGAGTTATGAGACATCAGGAAGGGTCTATAAAGGGTTAAATGGACATTATACTACATGGACTCCCAACAGAAAAGTGATGTTCATGAGAGAAATAAACTGATCACTTACCACGGTGCCAGGAGCAAGCTTAAAAGTCACTTTTATTCAGAAATGATCATTTAAATTTTAATAGACGATACAGTTTCATTCCAACCAGTTGTTCAAGATAACTTTTTCTCCTGACAATGTGACTCAGAAAAAACTCAATATTTAACATCCAAGTCGCCTAAGAAGTCAATCTAAATACACCTAAAGACAAGCGACAATCTAGTCATGGCTGATTACACAACTTGTATCACAGCCTTATGAGTTTATGTGAAGGGGTTAATAGCGGGTCTGTTAGCTCCCAGGATGAAGATATCAACTGGGCAAACTTTCGAGTGTATCCTTGATGATAAGGAAGTCAGTACGCAGTCCTAATGGAGAAAACAAAGGCAGACTGTAAAGCTGATAGACCTAGGATGTGGGAACTGCAATAAGGCCTTGAGCTTTGCCAAATGTATCGTCCATAGATCCTAGCCAATGAAAACGCTGTTGCTTGCTTACCTAAAATAAGGATACTGCTTGCTGCTAGCAAGGGGTATAAAAAAGCAGATGAGAAAATAAAGACAATTCAGACATCTTTTCTGCACCTAACTGACTCCTTGTATCTTTATCGGCCGTCCCGACTCTACACTGACATATGGTGACCCTCGACGTGATACTGCATTACTGACCATCGGGCAACGGATGGTGGTGACGGAGCTTGGCGTAGCTGAGAGCAGTGAGGAGACTGCCTGGTCCGGACCTGAGAACTACTGACACCTGGAAAAGGTGAGCTGCCAAGAACAAAGACTGTGATAATGGGGAATCAGATGTCTAAAGAGGAAAAGTTGGTGCTGTCCACTTGGAAGCACTTCCTAAAGCGTAAAGGAGTAACTGTTGAAGATTATGATTTGCAACGTTTGCTGCTATGGTGTCGAAAGCAAGGCTTTGAAGCTAACACATCAGTTGCATTTAGAGTAAAGACTTGGGAGAAGGTGGGGGATAAACTATGGAAAGAGGTTTATAAGGGTGTTAGGAGTGCTAAGGAAAAAACTCAGTATTTAACATCCACGTCGCCTAAGAAGTCAATCTAAATACACCTGAAGACAAGCGACAATCTAGTCATGGCTGATTACACAACTTGTATCACAGCCTGATGAGTTTATGGAAGCCCATGGAACTGATTAAGCTTAGCTGGCCTAAAAAATGAACTACAGATACACAAAGCTCTCTTTTTGGTGCCTTTAGAACATGAATCAAAGTGAAAAATTAAAACCTGGACCATGCAGACTTCCCCACCTCACATTGGCAGTCAGCACGCAAGGCACTGGTGCATTTCAAGGTCTTGCAAGTACAAGGGCTCATTAGATACAACATCCTTAATAACGTAGCAGCAAGCCACTCTCAAGATTGTCTTTCACCCTATATTCCATATAGCAATTGAAAGCAGTCAAGATGCCCTTGCTTCCTCTCGGATGAGTAAAACGAATTGAACCCAGGGAAAGTTTCTTCATTGTAGACCCTTGACCATGAAATTCTTTTTACTGATGCGGTTTGTAACCTACAGCTCAGCTTTTCCACAGTTACTTATTTCATTTGCCTTTCTACTCTGGAAAGAAGCATTTCTCTATCAGACTGAAGTCTGGCAGAAAGGTTGCAGTCTGCTCACTGGTCCTTTTTTTTTTTAAGAGATGAATGAAGTGCACCAACACTTGGAGCACTGGTGGCTGCTTAGTAAATCATAAAACTGTTGTGCAGGAGAATCTCCATTACCTCTTCATGCCTGCAACGGGCTGCAAGGACTTCACCATTCTTCTTTCTTTTTGCTCACTTACTGACTTATTTGCAGAAGTCAGTGGTTTCCTCTCCCTCTCTCTGGGCTGTCCCTTCTTGTGGCTCCACTGGCTGGCAGAGTGCCTGAAAATGCACCTGGCAGTGGTGAGCTGTGGTTGTGACATCACAGCCTCTGCACAGGGCCAGGAACCCAAACAGACTAGTTGGGATGGGCAAACCCCAATATTAGTTTTTGAAGCGCCCAAGTACAGGTCCAAGTTTGGAAGAAGCTGTGTGACAACTAAGAGGCCAGACACTGAGTTATGGAATCGTGACCTGCAGCCTCTGCTGTTTCTGTGAAACAGAAGAGTAGAGCTCAAAAACACAGGCTCTCCCATACAATTTTTTTACTCTTTGCACCAAGAATTGTACTGGATTTTTGATTTAGGTCTAATGTAAACCTGGAAAACTGACTGCCTTCTTTGTCCATTGAAATGAAATTCACTTTTCCTTCATAAGAATGAATGAATGGTAATTGAGAAATATTGCTTCCAACCCTATAATAAAATGTATGCTTAGCAAAGACTTTAAGTTAAAGCCAAAGATATTTGCACACATGCCAAGAGGACGGTATTCCAAGATGACTCTTTAAAACAGCTTAAGATAGACCTAAGTCAGAAATCTGTACAAAGATAATGTAACACAAAATTCAAAGTTTGCACAGAGGCAACACAAAATTCAAAGGTTTTTGTCTCCTGGGTTCAGGTCAGGCTTATTTCCACCCACACCCTGGCCATCTGCAGGCCTCTCTCTCTGTCCCAACGCTCATGACACACAGTATGGTTTTGTCCACTGGTGATCTGTAGCTGGGATGTGAAGACTATCTTTGCAAGTAAAATAAAAGGAAGATCTAATGGCAGGAGGATGAAGCCACACCAAATCAGACTACATTTTGTGGGTAATTAGCTGCTGGAGCAATTACCACAGGCTGTGGTACACTCCCTGTCATGAGCAGTTTCAGTATCAGACATTTTCCCTAAGAGAGAGCCTCTAGCACAACAATGAATTGATTTTGGTGAGCTCAAGTAGTGTGTTTATATTATGGATCAAACCAGATGGCCAACAGTGTCCGTTGCAGACATTACCATCACAGATGCATGCAACCTTTCCTGTGACCTAACTCCCAATTGCTTGTGCACTTCAAGGAGAGCAAGAACCAGACCTTCAACAAAGAGAAGAGACAACAGTGCCAGAAACCTGCAGCATTTTATCAACGTGAATTTTGCCCTTATCCTTCGCTAAATTCTTTTAACAAGTGGAAGCTCCTGTGGATAAGCTGTGGAGACGATACGACTCCCTGACAAGAGGTCTGATGATGGGTCTTGTGCACCAGGTACACTGACCGACCCAGTAATGCTGAGCCATCTCTGCCAGCCATCCCCATCTCTCCAACTTTCCACAGCCAGGCCCAGATTGCACCTCACTTCCTGATATTTAGTTACATCCTGTCAGCTCTGAAGTGAGGTCGAAGTTCTTCTAAAGAATGAAGAGCAGTTGAAGTCAGAAATAGAAACCTTATAAAGTTCAGCAGCTGGACCACGTTACGTGTTACACAGCTCACAAGCCAGCACAAGAGGCTGTTTCAAGTCCGCTTCCCATGGTCATCTCAATCAGCTAAACATTTTTATTCCACTGAGGAGCAGGTAGTGAAGCTCACCAAGGCAATCAAATGATGTTCCACTCTACACTGCAATGGCGGTGCAACCCTCATAAATAAAGGAAGTGGCTTCCTTGCTTCAGGATAGATCACTTAAACAGGAATCACATCACGTGAACAGAGACTGTAGTGTGGTGTGACACGGAGACTAGTAATTTCAGGACCTTTTGGAATGTGACATTTCACTACAGTACACTGAGTCCATCTCCTCCCAGCACTACATGATCCAACATCTTTTAGCTTTACATCTCCATGCTTCAGCTGCAACAATGGAAACACATAGTAGGGCTGGATTTCAAATTGTGTTAAGGCGGTCTCCCATCTATGTAAAATTTTCAGCGCATCTTCAGAAACTCTGTTTCACACCCAAGTTTTAACTGTGACCATCTATTCTAGTGGTGCTCACAGGACAAACCACAGCGCAGCACGAGGAGCGTGCTCTGCTGCCCACACCACTTGCACTGCTCAGCTCACGCAGGCAAGCCATGAGGCATCTGGAGAAAGGTATACAGCTAACTTCAGAGCATCAGAAGGTACTCAACCAAACACAGAAAGAGGTATTTTAGGGGCAATGCTTGCCAACTTAACTACAGCAGGCAGTGCCTGGCCAGCTGGCCCCAATTGGTCAGCAGTTTGCTACAAGGATACTCCAGGCACACAGCTAGGTGGAAGCATGGCTGGCTCACAGTACCACATGCTATAAGCCAGTCAACAGAACATCCCTCAAATCAAAACACATGGTTAAAGCAAATCTGAAAGAGACAGAAGCCATAACCCCCACCAATGTGATCGCAGATTTTGCATAGAAAAGTGTAATTCAAATCTTCTGTGCCTTTTCTCAGCCAAAATTCCTCTAAAATCTTGTGGCCAGAGAACTTGGAGAAGGTATACTGAGTCACAGACAAGCTTTTGGACAAGAAAGAGCACACGTGGAAGGCGTGTGTTGTCCGTCTTTCATTTCAGACTGCATTGCACTTGCAACAAACCATTTTAAGGGGGTGTCACTTTACTAGAAATCTATGGGATAGTGATTGCCCCAATTAATCTCCCTGACTCCAGCATAGATTAACTTTTAAGATCAGTTCTCAATATAGGCAATTACAGTTAACCAGTTAGGCAATAACACACAACAGTGCATTTCTGAGCAGTTAGAGCACAGACCAGTATTACAAAGCGTGGTCCTTCAGGACAACCGATTGCAACTGAACTATGAGCACAATTATCTTTTGGTTGGTACTTATTATTGCTCTTATTAAATGGAATTTTCAAATAGAGATAAAGAAGCCAGATAAACCTGTACCTTGACCATACTTCGTGACTCATTCTGAGGAAAGCCCATCATACTCTTATCCGTAACTGCAATGGTGCCAAGATTAATACTTCAGAACCAGAGTTACACCTGAAAAAAGGACTACGACAAGAAGCATATTATTGGTAGACATATACTATCACTGACAGCCAAAAGGAAAGCTCAAACAAATTTTGTAAATCCACTTCATAAAGACGTCAAAAATGTCCAACTTATGTTCCCATATGTCTGAAATCCATTTAGCATTACCTCTATAGTCTGAGTATCACAGCTGTACTTCTAAGCCCTGATACAAAATTTCCTTACCAAAATACATCCCAGTAGTGACCACTGGGATTTAAGTGACCCTTGAGGAATTCAGAGACAGGATAATAGCTACATTTTCACTCTTCAGGTTTGACAAGAGGCAATCATACAATCATTCACTCCACATCCCCACCAAACCATACCAGTAGGACACAGCCAAGCGACCACACATTTTCTAATCCATCCTAGAGCTTGGTATTTCTGACACTGGACTTCAGAAAGCAACAACTCAAGAAACATGTATGAAATTTGGGGGATTCCCCTAGTAAGAAGATGGGGAAAAAAAAAAAAAAGAAAAATATACAGAGACGCCAATTACTTGGCTTTCTTTGCTTTTCTGACTTTTTTTTGTTTTTTTCTGCAGCTGGTGCAGGAGGCTGCATAACCAGATGCCAGTATTCCATGGTGCTCCAGCAGCCTGATTATCATTCCAAAAACTTCTCTCCTCTTTAGCACTGCATCCTCATATTAAAAATAATGTTCCTGTGCTTAGCCTTCTTATTTTTAGTGTACTAGAAACACATAATCTGTGAGTTGTATGTATATTCAAAAGCACTGTCAAATAAATTATTATTATGGCATGTGTACTTTTCCCTCCTTTTCTGATTTATAATGGATTTTAGCATTGTTAAAACTGCAGTTAGTCCGTCTACAGTCTCATAATTCTTCTCTCAGTCAAATGAAACTACAGTCTTGCAATTTTTAAACCAAATTACTACTAAAATGTGTAGAAATAGGAATTTTAATAAGACTTCTATGTTACAAACATTTTAGCTCAGAACTATTTGGAGTCAGTCTCTGAATAGGATTAGCTTCTGCATATTTTCTTTTAATTTTACATATAAATGAAATACAGGATCTCTCATCATAATTAAATTTGAACTATTCAAGATTATGACTGTGAAAGTACTCTACACGCACATCTACACAGATTACTCAGAAGTCAGTAGATTCTGCAGCCCACAAACAGAACATGCCAACCTCAAAGTCTTCATAGTTCTTCAAACTCTTACTTTCAGAAAAGCTAAAATACAAGCAAGGCATCTGCTGGGCTAGGGAGAAACTCAGAACACAAGCCCCTGCTTGAAGGCTCAGGATTATGCACTTTGTATGTCAGCAGGTAAACTAAAAGTATGCTGTGTTTTGATGGATTTTAAGATCATTAAATTAATGATGATGATCTGACTGATTAGGATAAGCAAGACCTGGGATTTTTCTTGCATCACTAAGGTCAGTAATAGCCCTGCCATTGATTTTAATGAGATGAGGACTAGGCCACTGATGAACTGCAATAAATGAAGGCAAGCCAAATCAGAGTGGAAGGGGGCAAAAGCACAAGCTTGAGTGGAACAAAGGGATTGGAAGATAAATTGAGAACAAAATCAGAAGCAACATTACTTGTCACCAATGGCTGCCCTGCAGATAACCAAAATGGCTCTTTATCTCAACCTAGCATTTCATGTTTGACTTTATGTGCATATGGTTGAACACAAAAAGACACATTTTTCATGATGATGCTACGTACCTGATTATTTGGACACTGTATTACAGCTTACATGTCAGAACAGCTTCCAGCAAGTTCTGAGTTTAGCAAAAGACAGATGGCACCAATCTGAACAAACAGCAATGGGAGACAGAAGCTTTGTTTTAACAAAACAAAACATTGTCATAAGATACTTATACATCCACAAGGTGCATCTTAGGCAACCTCCTACAAAGCTTCCACTGTCTGCAGCAAACAATTTTCACCCAGATTGAGAAATGCCTGTGTAGGAGAATCCTGCCTAGTTCGTGATAC